TTTCATCTATAGGGATGCAACTCTAGCATATAAAGCTGAAGCTTTGGAGCTGCAGAGACAGCTTAGTCATTTACAGTCCCAATTTGATATGCTGACAGGACAAGCTTCAGCTTTGATCCAAGGGAGACGTTCACGGGTTGCTGCAACATCTACTGTCAATGGACAGCTGTCAACCATGAATGACAGCCTGTCAGCTAGAAATTTGCAGGTATGATATTGAAAATATCTTCTGCAATTTGATCAAAACTGAGTTGGGACATACTTGTCTATTTCTTGACATTGCTAAAAGAGAAATTCACTAGACAATGTAGTACATATGCTTTATTGTTATAATTATTGGAAGTACAAGCTATTATGTCTGCTTGCAATTAGAAAATTAATTATGGTAAACATGTCAATATGTGCCATCAACTATATGGTTAAGTTCAATGATAGTTGTGTCTAGAGGACCTTTTAACTTTAAGTATGAAGTGTCTTGTAGAACAGTAACCAATGATATTCCTTTATCTTGATTGTTTCCAGAAAGTGAATTATTTTTTACTCCTGTTTGGCATTGTGACTCTTGTTTGTGTGCATGTCAGCACACACATGACTGTAGCAGTTTCTATTATCTCTTCATTGACATCCATTGCTATTTGTTACTTGCTTTACGTGCCATCATCATGTGTTTGACTGTACTCATGTAGGTGACATAAATATGTAGACAAACCCAGCATTTCATTGGAAAGTAGCGTTTTTTAATCTTGATTTTTTCATTTTCATCAGTTTCTCTCAAGAGGGAAATATTCATTGCAGTCTATCTTGTGCTTGATTGTAATTTCTTTCTAAAGTATTTCATTATAATATAGATGAATGCAGTTCTTGAACGGATAGCATCTACTACACAAGAGCTGGCGAATTATCATTCTGGAGATGGTACCGTTTTCTTATTTGTTCTTGTTCATTTTCATCAAATGTGTAAAATGTGATGCAGATTGTTCTTTTGGAAGTAATGATTTCTGTTATGGTCATTTTTAAGTACGATAAGCATTAGCTACTTTTGGTTTGGACTCTTAAATCAACCTGAATAGATATATATATTTTTAATTTTTTTATCTTCCTCATCCAGAAATCAGTTTTTATTTTATTTTGATCTTACTGGCATGGTATGTTGGTGGTTTTAAAGGTCTAACTAATGATTGTTTCTGCTGGACTTTTGGTTTATCTGTCAAAACCATGAAGATATATATATATATATATATATATTTATATATATGAGGAGAGATCCACTCCACTTACACACAAGTCTTACACACTCTACTTACAAAGAATCTTAACCATTCATCTCTTCACTCAATGGTTGAGATTTATCACAATTTTTTAGATAAAAAAATAATTATCTTTAATAAATGTGAATAAATCTCAACCATTGAAAGTGGAGAGATGAATGGTTGAGATTTTGTGTAAGTGTGGTGTGTAAGACTTGTGTGTACGTGGACCTGTACTCTCTCTCTCTCTCTCTCTATATATATATATATATATATAACTTTGATGATTCATGCTTAACAAATGACGAAAGGTAAAAAAATGAAGAAAGCTTTCTTATTTGAGTTTGTTTCTGTCATTTTGTTGATCTTTTATTTGTTATTTATACATGCAGTGGATGGCATTTACTTAGCTTACTCTGACTTTCATCCATACTTGTTTGGAGATTCAACTTGTTTAAAGGAGCTAAATCAATGGTTTGCTAAGCAACTGGACACGGTATGATATTGAACTGCTATTTTGTTGCCTTCCCTTAACCCCCACCCCACCTTTCTTTTCCCCCCCTAGTAGTGCACACAGAGAAGGACATGGCGTTGTACATGCAGAATAAAAGTTGTATCCACACTACAGATATGCATTCTTTTTTCTGGCCAATAGATTTAGGCTATGTTTGGTAGGAATATCGGGTTATGAAGGTTGTGAAGAAGGTTTTTGGATCTCAAGTTTTTGACTCAGGACAGGATCCAAAATCCCTTTTTCTTTCCATCTTCTTGCCAAGCTTTGACTTGAAAATATTATTCATTTATCTCAATTATTAACTCATTAGAGCATGCCAGGGATGTTGTTGGGGCCAATTTGTTGTTTTTTGAGCGTTAATAAATAAAAATAACATTCCACCTCCAATTCATTGGATAGTAGTTTCCTTTTTTCCTCTTTTTTTTTTTTTTTTTTTTTTATGATTAATTTTTTTCTGTTTCTATGCAGTAAACAGCTAGGTAAAGTGCTTTTTAAAATTTAGATTGGTGGCTGGCCCAAAAAAAAAACCTTGAGATTGGTGGATGATATGGGAAAACTCTAATTCTAGTAGTAACTTTTTGGAGATTCACATTTAAATACTCTATATTTATGATAATTGAGCACTCGACCAAAGGAGAGGCTAAAGTGCTCCAAAGAATGAAAAATAAATTCTGTTTTAATTTTAGTTTTTTTCAATTAATTGATCATTAAAAAATGAAATTTTATGTTATAAATAATATTTTGCAGCTCACTTAACAAAACCAATTAGTTTGAAGAACAGTAGGCTTAATTGTGAATCCAGCAAAAGTTCAGGTGGATAAAATTAGGGTTGGTATATATAACTTTCTGTCATCACATGGTTAGTCAAGTATATTTCTTAATTGGTTGTTAACATTTTCTGTATACTATTATACATGTTCAAGACTTCTCTTCATTTTTTAAGCTTTGTTGTCTTAATATGTGTTTATGAATAGGGTCCTTATCGGTTAGTTGCTGAGGAGGGAAAATCTAAATGTTCATGGTTGAGCCTTGATGACATTTCAAATATCTTAGTAAGAGGTACTAAACCTTCCCAATTTTAGAGTAAAACTCTTACTCCCTTTTTTTTTTTTTTAATAAAGCTCCATGTTTTGCCCTGGAATCTTTGATATAAATATTCTTTTTACTTTAGTTAGTGTTCCCAATCCTATATGAAGTATTATGGTTGAATGAATATTTGTTTTGACTTTTTTTTTTAATGATCTTTCTGTGTAAGGAGAAAATCCCTCTAACCTTTCTCATCATCAATTTCTTTCTCTAAATTTCTCCTTACCCCTTTTCTTTTCTTTCTAACATTACTTAGCTTTCATTTTCTAAGTCTTTAATCTCTTGTTCTTTTGATTTCAATCTCTTTGTTCATCTTTAGAATTATGCAGCCTGATTTTATTTGAAATGTTAAAGTAATTATTTCAGTTTCATGAATACACATACAGCAAGTAGCATATTGTGTAAAATAAGAAAAAAAAGTGTTCATTTAATGGATACAAGCTGGTCACATAGTTGTGTGCTTCTTTCTGAAAGGATGGTAAGGTTAAGTATGAAACTTTTGGGTCTTGCTCTATTCCAGAAGAAGGTAGTAATTACATTTTTTATAGGCATTGTTGAATGGAAAGCTAGGTTTTTTCCACATGGAAATCCTTGTTCTTTAGGTCTTATTATAAATTAATAATAGCTGTCAGAAGAAATCCTTGCCGCTCATACCATGTCATATAAACTATAGGTTGTATGTATATTTATATACCGTGCCAATTTTGTGGTCAGAAAAATTATACTAGTTAATATGCTGCACATAATACATGATAAATTTAGCAGTGTGTTGACTTAATTTAACTGGATTTTCTGTCCAATCATCTCAGTGCATGGTGATCCTTCCATTGTCATAATGCCCTCTTTTTTTTTTTATTATTATTATTATTGTACATACTTACAGATTATTTGCTTTTGCTGTGATTACATGTGTGCTGTTGATTAGCCCATTTATCTGTTACATTACTAGAGATGGAAGAAGATAAACCTTTTTGCACATATTGTTTCTATGCAGATTTAGAAAAATCCCATCATCAACGTGTATCTGAACTACAGCGGCTTCGCTCGATGTATGTAACTTCATCCAATAACTTTCTAAGTTTTCTTTTCTACTGTCCTGATTTAATGCTGCTTTGTATACTGTTTGTTGTTGCAGGTTGTAGTTTCTCTTGATAAGCATTTTTTTATACTAGTTCTTTCTTGTGAAAAGCAATAAATGCTGTTGATGTTTACTAGCCTGGATTTCTGTTATCATTGCTTAATTTCATAATGCTTATAGGCAGTTTTGATGATTAACAGATTTGGAACAAGTGAAAGACAATGGGTAGAAGCCCAGGTTGAGAATGCCAAGCAGCAAGCAATTCTTTTGACACTGAAATCTCAAATAACATCTGATGAAGCTCATATTCATCTTGATCTTCATTCTCTCAGGTACAATTTTCGTGTTCAATGATGAGTGGGTTTAGACTGTTTAGCTTCTTAAAGCTTTAGGTTTTTATAAATCAAATTTTGCAAGAGTAATGTCTTGAGTTTGGGAAGCATGGGTGAAAGTTGTATTAAAACATAGAAAGAATAGTTAACAACCACTAAACAGACATTTTTTTTTATTTTTTTAAATGAAACTTTCAATTCAAATTCAATGATGTAGAATTTTTAAAATTGAAAAGAAAGGAGTATTATGATTGTTTTAAGCATAAGGATTCACAATCCTTCTGGAGAAAAGATTTGTCTAAGTGATGAAAAATATCTGCTTAAGAGTCTCCTTTTACTTTTACTCTTTGTGAGTTCTCTTTATCCAGTACATTTTCCCCCTTTCTTACCATGTTCTTTAATCAAACAAAGCACAAGAAATAGGTCTTTATTCTATTCTATTCTATTCCTTCTGATCTGATTCCTGAACACAACTATCAAAGAACAGATGAATATGTACATGGGCTAATTAGTTTGTTTGTTAGCGATGAATTGTCAATTGGAATTTAACTGTTGATACTGTTTCTTTCTCTAGAGATTTTTATAACATAAAGGTTTGGTTTTATTTCAATATTGGGCATTGGAAACACCTTTTCTTTCTTAGACTCATCCATAGATTCAGGTACACTAGTTTCATTAAGGGTCATCTTAACTTTCATATATTTAAAATAGTTAGTGATGTTATTCTAGCAAAATAAGTTTTGAGGCTAATGTTTTAACCATGTCGCAACTATGTTGCCTAGAAATAACTAATATTTTTAATTGTTCATATTAGGACATAGAAAGCCAATAAATTTCTTTGGTGGAGTATTTGGATCATTGCAAGGAGGAAGAATAACTATGAAGATATCGTTCATGTCTGTTGCAATGAAGGGAATAGTGTTGAAATGTGTTGTATTTTTTTGCCTATTACGTGTTATATTACTGTTTTCATTACAATCTGTAGGAGAAAGCATGCTGAATTAGTGGGAGAACTATCAAGCCTTTATCCAAAAGAACAGAAGTTATTATCTGAGGTTTGTATTTGTCTTTAATCTTAAAATTTTTTCTCTTACCAATACATCAAAACCTTCTGCATTCGGTGCTAGATCTTTAGGCCTGATCAGAAAATATTGGTGGTTTCCTTTATGGCCTGTTGGTGAACAATTTTGTTGAGAAACTTTCAACTAGCAAGCTAAATTACATGGGTTCTTCACTTCATCCTAATGAATCCATATTACACACTCTTTAAGTCCTTTTTCTCTTTTTCAATAATTGAAGTGAGGGGAGGATTCAAACCGCCACTTCAGGGAGGGGAGCATGCACTTTTGTCATTGGCCTACAAGGACAGAAGCATTAGACACTTCACTAAGTATGTATGGGGTATGCTCCATGGGCACTTGAAATTAAGGAGAAACTTAAAAATAAAATATAATAATTGAAATATCTGTGTCAGACAGTTGAGTGCCAGTCCATTTAGCGTTGCTGGGTAGCACTTCTCTTCAAATTTCAACAAATGAATTACTAATTGTTTAATATGTCATGATCTGGATGCCATACTTATCTCCTATTTGATCATAGGTGAATTAAGAATGTGTCAAGGGAATTGATGCTTTATTGATCCCCTTTTCTCTTTTTCCTTGCTTCTACAACTCAAGAAAACCCAAGCAGCAGCTTTATAATTAAAAGAAACATAGAACTGAGTTTGACTCCATTAAAATCACCTGCAAATAATATAAATCCCAAGTCAGAGCTTGGAAATTGGATCTAGATTTTTCCCCACCTCTTGTATACTTTTACAGGCTGCATGAGGTGGTATTTCCTATCATTAGGTCCATTGAGAAGAACATTGTGGTCTTAGGCTCCAATGAATGTGCTCTGTGTTGATTTTGATCACTTTTAACTTGCTACTAATTTCCATTTCTGACTGCACTTGGTTTTTGGGGTGCCAACTGCCAAGACGTTTCTGTGATTACTAAATGATATTAAGGTTCAAATGTTGTAAGTCAGAATAAATGCACTTACATTTATGGATGTGTTGATGTCTTTCTGTCCCTATACTCTTTGCATAGATTTATTTCACTCTTATTATATTTTAAATTATGCATCCCATTTTCAGACAATTCCTGATCTTTGCTGGGAACTGGCACAGCTTCAGGATACATATATTTTGCAAGGTAAATATGTGGCAAACCTTTGCCACCAAGAACTGAAAGCCAAAAGTAAATAATTGACATATTATCCTTGCAGGTTTTTATTAATAGTATTTCTGAATTTAATGAACTCTAGGTGACTATGATTTAAAGGTTATGCGCCAAGAATTCTACATCAGCAGACAAAAAGCAGTATGTTGATTAGTTCATATATATATTTGTTTTTTTCCTTAGCAGTTCATTTAGTCTTCTTTCTTTAGAATTTATGTTGCGAAATGGTAAATACAGTCATACAAATAATATAAATTAATGAGTTTATTTTCTTCTAATTATTTGTTTATGGGAACTCTCACTTTTTGTCTATTGATTCTCATTACATGTTGATGTACCTATAATGCATTTAAGCTGAGGTGAGAAAATTGAAACCAAGATCATTGAATGATCTGCACTTTACTTCTCATCAACATCAAGAGTTGATGGACAACTTTTGTCTGCAATTTTAATGGTATTAGGTGGTGACTATTATGGGATGAGCTTGGTGCTAGTCAAAATAGTCTGTGCATAAAGGTGGTATTTTAGTAAAATTAGTAAAACTGGAGTTTCCCTCAATTCAAGCATTGTTGGTAACTATTACAAAGGCTATTACATATGCTAATTTTGTGTACATATGTGACATTGTTTCTTCTTGCATGAGAACCATTTGAGACAAAAAATAATAAATTGTTGATTGTAATTGGTTCACTCCAAAGATCCCCTTAACTTTCTAATCCTTTTGCTTTAGTAATTGATGGCCTAGCTATCCATTTTAAAATCTATGTAAAGTATAACAATTTTCAAACATTGATTTGAAAAGTTTTAAGTGTTCAATATACCTGAAATTATTTATGATGAGTATTAACGCTCTTAGTTTCTTTTGGCAGTTCATTAGTCATCTAATCAATCATCTTGCAAGGCATCAGTTCTTAAAAATAGCTTGCCAATTGGAAAAGAAGAATATGCTTGGAGCATTTGCATTGCTTAAAGTTATCGAGTCAGAGGTTCAGGGGTACCTGTCAGCAACAAAAGGACGAGTGGTATGTTGGATCTCATATTGTGTTCTATTAGCTTTGTGCAACATCATTTTTCTATGTTGAGTAGAAAATCTCATATTCTTTATGGTATCGATAGTGACATTAGTTCATCTAGCCTGCCACTTACAGTGACATTAGTTCACCTTTGCAATTTTCACCTCATCATTGTAAAGGCAAAAAATTAAAAAAAAAAAAAGACTGTCACTGTATAAACATTTAATGGGTTCCCTTTTTTATCAGTGATCTTTCGGCAGGGTTAAATATGTGATTAAAGCACTTCATGAATACAAGAAATCTTATCATTTAGCTTCTGTTTGGTGCTAGATTTCTTATTGAACCTAAGAAATGTTCTTGAACACTTACAATCTTTTTCACATAGAGTGTTTTAGTACTTGGATTTAATTCTGCAATACTGTAGTGAGATTTACAGATATTGTTTCAGATTGACATGCAAATCCTATATGTTCCTTTTAATTGAGTTGAAATTTCTAAAATCAAACAGGATCAGTGCATGGCTTTAATCCAAGCTGCATCAGATGTACAAGAGCAAGGAGCGGTAGATGATCGAGACACATTTCTGCATGGTGTCAGAGACCTTTTAAGTATCCATTCAAGTAATGGTCATTTTCTTAGAAATTTCAAGACCAGTTTATTTGTTCATAACAGAAGAACACACAATTCCGTTAGTAAAAGTTGCTTTTGTTTTTACCATTTTTGCAGATGCTCAGGCTGGGCTACCATCATATGTATCAGTACCTGGCATTGTCCAGCAAATATCAGGACTTCATTCTGACTTGAAGGCCCTTCAGTCTGATCTTGAGAACTCACTTTTAGAGGAGAGAAATAGATGCATCAATGAGCTGTGAGTTATCTTATGCTAGCTCAATATCCTAATACTTTTCTTTTTTCTAAATCTTCAAATTAAAACTACCCGTTTGAATTACCATACATAAAATCATACCTCCTCATGCTCAAGATCGTTGCTTGGCCCCCATTTTTTTGTCCCAAAGCCTCCCTTGGTCTGCCATAATTATTGCCTTGTGATTTATTTACTACAAATATTGGTTTCTTTTAATTAGTACTTTCCTGATTATGATTGTTGTCAGCATCAATAAGAATGGCAGACATCATGCCACTATTTAAATTAAAAATACAGTTGCATGAATTACATTTTAAGAAACTTTGTGTAGAAGTATTTGTTTATAATTTTGGATTTCTTGCAAGGATGACAATTTTTGCCCTATTTGTGATAGGTGCACCCTGATTCAAAGTCTGCAGCAATTATTATTTGCATCTTCAACAACTGCACAACCAATACTGACACCTCGGGTATGATCTTTATTACATATAAAGTAGCATCTTTTCCTCTCCTTCCATCAAAGGCAAGAGCAACATTTTGCTCTGCTTCCTCCTGCAGCAATTAGTATTTCTTTTGCATGCCAATATTTGACATAAAATAGTCCTGAGACGTTTTGTTGCCTTATCAGCCTTTAATGAAAGAACTTGACGAAATGGAAAAGATAAATGCAAAACTCTCTGCTGCAGTGGAAGAGGTTACGCTTGAGCATTGCAAGAAAAATGAGGTGATTGTAGTTTAAATATTACCATCATCTCATGAATTCCTTCTCATTGTTGGATATTACTCTATCCTAGCATATTTCTTTGAGTGTTAGTAGAGCATATTTAAAACGTAATGGTGCATAATGGCCATAATCTTAGGTTTCTTTGAGGCTGTTTACTAGAATATTCTTGTTAGATAATTTATTTTGATGAATGTTTTAGAAATCAGCTTAATGTTTGACGACCTCTTAGAAGGTTTTACCTAGTCGTTAGGATTGAATGCAAAAAATCAAGGGTGCTCATTTGATGAAAAATAGTACAAGTAAAATTTTCTGTGCAAGAGCATTTTAATTTGTGTTCCTGCATCTAAAACCGAGAGCAAGTTCATCTTAGATATACATAGTTATTTGGA